AAAAAAAAAAAAAAAAAAAAAAAGAATAAAAAAAAATAATAATCCCAAGCAGAAGAGCGGGTTTGTCCCGCTCGGGCGGGGGACCGCCCCGGGCACCGCAGCGGCTCCAAGTTTCACTTCGCGCCGTCCCATTTCCCGGCTCCGGGCCGGGAAGTTGGCGGCGCGGGGGCTGCTCCCAAGGAAAGGAGAGAAAATGGGGAAAAGACGGAGCGAAGCGGCTGCAGGGGAAGGAGGTTTCGGGGGGAAAAAATAATCAGGCGGTCGGAGGGAAGATAAAAGAAGCCTAAGGAGAAGGCACTGCCCTGGAGAGCCATTCCCTCCATGTTGGAAATCCTAAATTCACAACCTGCCTCTGTTTATGAAGAAGAGCGGCGCTCCCCCCTCCCCCCGCCCCGCCTAAGGTACCTTTCCCAGACCGAGAGAAACGAGGAATCGCCCCGTTTTTAATTTAAATTATTATTAATAATAAATATTCTAACCATGCCCTGAACAATAGGTCGACTGCTCAGAAGGACCCTCAAATCGCAGCGCCTGCCTTGCGGGAAATATGCCTGGAAAATAGAACCACATTCCTAAAATTTCCCTCTTCCCTCCCCCACCGGCGAGATTCACCCCAACGAGAACTCCCCAGTTGGGAAGCGGGGGGGAACAGGGCCCTGGATGAGGGCTGCGAAAGAGGCTCTGCGTGGAAGGAAGCTTAAAGCTTGTGAACTCTTCTTGAACCGAGATTGGAGTCATATGGTCATAAATCATTGGGACATATACTCCGCCATTCACAAAGTGATAGCCTATTTGAGTCCGGCTTACCTTAGTCTCTGACGAGCAAAGCACAGGCAGACATAATATATTTTCACATCCAGCATCCACGCAATCAATACGCACGGAATGACCCCCTTCCTTTAAAAATATTAAAGGAATATACAAGAGAGAGGAGGAAAAAAAAAAAACAATCCAGCCTGTGTGTGTATATGTGTATAAAGAAAAGGAAAAAAAAAAAGCCAAAACAGGGGGGAGGGGGCTCAGCCAGTGGAGCTTTCGGTTACGGCAGCTCAAATTGTCTCTCGGTCTCCGTTTGGGAAGAAGAAAAAAAAAATCCCGATGCTCTCCAGCTCCCAAGCTGTGCAGAGAAGCTGCGGGCTTTGCCTGGCCAAAGCGGTGGTTCTGGTTGCCCTCTAGCCTGGTACGCTCTGCTCACTGATAACAATGGCCTCTGCTTTGCACGGCAAAGGGGAAGAAGGGAAAGG